TATATATTTTTCTTAACCTCGTATCCCACCATGCTACCGTTTTTTTCCTAGTTCTTTGATAATTTTGAAATTATTAATTAATTTCGAAAATATTTTTCAGATTAAGCAGGTTTCTGTATTCGGGCAGCTGTGCTGTCGATACATATGAAATCTATGAGCTTATAGAAATTTATTTAAGATATTTAAAAAGTTTGTTAAAATTTGATTCGGATTATTGAAAGCTTCTTCTCCATTTAATATTTAACTACCGAATGATAAATTCACTTTCTGTAATCATAATTTTTTTAGTTTTGAATAATCAAAAAAATAATTTCCATTGTTTCCATACGTTTCGAAAATATGAAAAAATATTTCTATGATAACTAAGTACTGATATTGAATATAAATATATAATTAAATATAATAATATTAAAACCCACCCCTAATTTATAACTTATATCGTGACTTCAGTTTTCAACAATAAGAAAAATCATTTTCACTGGTTATTATCATATTATCATTTCATCTACCCAATGCACTCCTCTCCACGACGAAATTTTAAAAACTATTATCATATTCGTAATCAGCGACCACGAAAACCCCCCAGTGGCAAGTTTCACGCGAATCTAGTGAATTTTAAAATTTTTCGGTTGCCATGTAGGAACCGCCATTTTGAATTTTTAAAAAGTGTCATCATATTCGCAATCAGCTACCCCGAAAACCCCTGAGTGACAAATTTCACGCGAATCTAGCGAATTTTAAAATTTTTCGGTCGCCATGTTGGATCCGCCATTATGAAATTTTAAAAACTTGACTTCATATTCGTTATCTGTGACCCCGAAAAAATTTAATTTATTCATTAAAAGAATTAATTTATTTCTTCCCAATTGACATAAAAATTGAATAGAATTATTTTGTTTTTAAAAATATAATATAGCTATTTAAAATATAAAACTCTTTTTTTCTCTAATATTAATTATTGTTTTCTCATTTTAAAAAATAATTTATAAGAATTGAAAAAAATTCATTAATTGGAAATATATTGTCGTTCGATGTGCCTCGAATAGCTTCGATGAGCCTTTGAACAGTCGCCAATGCATTTACATTGTTCTTAAAAATATAATATAGGCTTTTAAAATATAAAACTCTTTTTTTCTCTAATATTCATTATTGTTTTCCCACTTTAAAAAATAATTTATGAGAATTGAAAGAAATTCATTAATTGGAAATATATTGTCGTTCAATGTGCTTCAAATAGCTTCGATGAGCCTTCGAACAGTCGCCAATGCATTTATTTTGTTTCTTAAAATGTAATATAGCTATTTAAAATATAAAACTCTTATTCTTATTCTTATTCTCCAGTTTATAAAATGTATTTTTTTAAAGTTTTATATTTCCGTGTGTTTGGAGTAATAGTCAGGGATTGATACGTGAAGAGTTTAGAGTGCTAACGTACGATATAATTTTTAATAATCGATTGTAATAAAATAAATGTTTTTTAAAGGTATTATTGTTAACAGTAAAGATATTTATATATTCATAAATTAAATTTTGTTTTAAAATTTATAATTTTCATGAATTTTATTTCTGAATTGTGATTTATTAAATATCTATTTTTTTTATTGTATAACATTTGTAATTCTTTTGAAAAATGTTTTTGTTTTTTAAATATGTAATTTAATTTTTTATAATATATAAAATCACAAATAATTTATGTTTAATATACAAAAAGTTATATATTTATTGAAGCTTTTAATTTTTTGATTTACCTAGGAAAATGTAATAATCTTTTTTGAAATAAAAATAAATTTTTCTTCATTTATAAATTATTAAATAATTTTATAAACTTTTCGATTAAACAAGAACACAACTTGAACTAATATTCTATAATTTTGATAGACCACTTAAATTTCTTTTATGCATTTTCTTCTTCTTCTTCTTCTTCCTCCATTTCTATTTTTTCTTGTTCTTCTTCTATAACTATATCTTCCTCCTCCTCCTGCTCTTCTTCTTCTTTTTCTTCTTCCATTTCTATAATTTCTTCCTCTTTTGTTACTATTTCTTCCTCTTCTTCTTCTATAAATATATCTTCCTTCTCCTCCTCTTTTTCTTCTTCCATTTCTATTTTTACTTTAGAAGAAATTTGTAAATAAATTTAATAAAACATTTTTTTTGAGAGTGAATCAGAATATTTTTTAGGGTCAGGGAAAAAGTCAAAGTTGTGTTTGGAAATCAAAAAAAAGTCAGGGAAAAATGAAGTTAAATTTTTGTGGCAATCCTATATAAATAATAAAAAATAATAATCAAATAATAATAATAATAATATAATAATAATCTTCTAAAGTACTATTTTTAGGGACATTGTGAAGCCTGACAATTAAATTTCTTTATTTAAATTTATAAATAAGAAAAATTTATTATTTATAAACAAATAATATTTTATTTATTTTGCATAATAAATAGGTACATGACATGTGCATCGTCCAGAAAACCAGTTTACTGTCAAGGAAAGGGAAAACTGTACTTTGACAATCCCGAAGAAGTTGTAGACGACGAAGATTATGAACACACTTGTCAACCAAATTTAAAACTTGCTGTATGCATAACGGAATGTTTCACAGCTGCAAAAGAAATTGTCGGTGATCCAATGGACATTTTTAACAAAGCTTGCGAAAGGTAACATATATTTTATAATATAATTTACTGATATAAATACGGGAACATTTATAATCAAAATTATTATTATGTATTGTTAAAACAAATTTTTTATACAGAAAAAAAAGATACTTTTTGTTCATGGAATATCAAATTATTATTATGTATAAATATTTATTATTAATCACAAATTGTTGAAAAATAACCCATAATAAGTGATATTTATTTACAAATTCTGTAAAATATTTAAACTGGCCATCTTTCTGGACTTACCCTAACTGAAAAACTAATTAAAACGAAATTTTCAATTAATATTATTTATAAATTTTTAATTATATTAAGAAAATTTAACAAATTTCGATACTACAATTACAAATTTAACATCAAATTTTTAAAATGAAAAACAGCTAATTATATATAGCAATTAATCATTTTAAAACTTTACAAAATTTACCTAAAATAACACTAAACGTAATAAATGAAAATCAAGTCAGACAAATTTGATTTTAAATCTATTCTCATTTTTTAAAAATTAACGCATTAGAAACGAATTTTAAGTGAATCTGGTAATTTTTTAAAAATTACTATTATTGATGTTAAACTTTCTTGTTATTTTAAACTTTCATTTACAATCTAAAAATAATCTCGATTATGAAAATTTTAATTACTTAGCAGGGTTAAAAAAAATATGACTCATTAAACTTTTTAAACAAAGAATTCCTATAATCTTTTAAAACTAAAATAAAAAAAAAATTGCAACAATATAAAATAATTTAAAAAGAATACATTGTAGAGGTATTAGACAATAGTTTTATGCAATTAAAATTATGAAAAATAAAAATAGTATTTTTATAAAAATATTTTTATAAAAATATTTTTATAAAAATATTATTAACTGGTAATAAAAAAATATTAACAATTATTTATTTTTACATTATAGAAATTTAGATATTTCAACTGCAATACCCTTTCACAAATTAAGGTTTCGATTAAAAAATTATATCCGGGATAATAATCTTCCATTAGCAAATCATATTGTTGATTTATCATCAGTATTGAATAGTGGATTATGGGATGAGAGTTTATCATACATCCAAAGTGTGGAAGGTGATAAACGAGGGACCATTGTTAAAGAGAGAAGGAACATAACTGTAAAGGATGTAATTGATGAAAAAGGATATTGTCATGTGATATTTTATGACGAAAATACGTTTAAAAAATGTACAGATTCTTCTCAAATTTTTGTTGATGGTACATTCAAAGTTGTACCCAGATTAGGTGGTGCAAAACAATTAGTTACCCTCGCTTGTGAAAAATTCGATCAAGTAAGACATATATGTATAATTTAATATGCTTATAAGTATAAAAAATATCAATTTTTCATATTACATATACATTTCTTTTACGTTTTTAGTTCGTGCCATTATTTTATGTCTTAATGACAAAAAAAGAACAAATATCATATGAAGCCGTTTTAAATAAAATAAAAGAGATAGCACCATTAATTAACCCGGCGCTAATAATGTCGGATTTCGAAGTTGGACTTATGAATGCCTTACAAATCTGTTTCCCAGACGCATTAGTGAGAGGATATTTTTTTCATTATCATCAAGTAAGTTATTAAATTATTTAAAAATAATTAATAAATAAATTTTGTATTGAAAAACAATTTTTATTATTTCCTCAGAATTGCAATAAAAAAATTGCAAAACTTCGATTAAGACATTTGATAGATAATTGCAAGGAGGCAAGGATTTTCTTTGAAAAAACAAAAAATTTGCCTCTTTTGCCTAAACAGGAAATCGAAAGAACTTTTAATGAAATGTTTGAAGATTTAAGTAAAATTGAAAGAAAGGTGCTTTTAATTAAAAACGGGGAGCCAACACCTACATTAAAAGAGACATTCAAAGAATTTCAACATTACATTCTAAAATATTGGTTCAAAATCATTAAAGTCGATCGCCTCTCTGTATTTCAATTGCCACATCGAACAAATGGTGGCATTAAGAGATACCATAGAGCTTGGAAACAAATTGTGGCAACTCGTCCGAGGACAATTAAATTTCTTGGTAAGAATTAATTTATTAAAATAAATTTCAAATGTTTATATAAAAATCAAATTATTTTCTTTTATCCACAGTTGGACTTCTTAACATGTGCAAAATACAGGATAACAATTACGAAGTGGCAAAATCTTTTTCTTCGTCAAAAAGAAAAGCCACTAAAACTGACAGAAATAGGGAAATTGCCATTGAATCTCTATGGTCAAATTTCTTGAATCCAACCAATGACATACACCCGACGCGAAAGACACAAAAAATTAATGAATTATTAGAAAAATTAATTAATGAAACTACTGAATTCACACAAGGGGTTTATTCCTATAATGAAAATGAAGGTATAAAATTTAAATTAAAAAGTATACTATTATTTTTATAATTGTTAAGTTAAAAATTTGACAGTTAATTTGCAAATAATAAAATAATTGAAGTAAGAAAATTTAAACCAAAAAATTATAAAACAATCAAAACATTATAATTATCAGTTTTCTTTTAGAAAACATCGAAGAGCCTGTGGACACAAACGAGAACGATAGTGTAGACGCAGTATTGAATAAGCCACTATCCGATAGGATAACGATGCAATCAAGCATCAGTAACGATTCCGTCTGTAGAATATGTGACAAAAGATTCTCAAGAAACAGCAGTGTCGCCATACACTTAAAAACAGTCCATAAATGTAAAAAATGCAAAAAATGTTGCGGGTACTTTAAGGAATTACCTCATGACGATGAACCATGCATAGAGAAAAAATGTCCACATTGCCGTTTTACAGGAAAAAATGGATTTCAAACTCTAATCAACATAATGCAGTTTCATGGTACGTATGAAATATAAATAAAAATATGTAATATTGATGTTAATATAAATAAATTTAAAAGATTAAATAGGCATGATAATAAGGCACTTGCAATTTATTTACAATTCTTATCATAAATAATACGAAATATAAAAGAAACTATAAACATATTGAAAAGCATTTATTTTAAAATAATTGTAACAATATTGTTAACTAATTAATTTATTGTTTAATAACAGATGTAAATGAGGTATGCAATACAGCAGAAGAAGAAGTAATAGAAATAGAAAACGAAGAAGAAAGATCAGACATAATTATAAATCAAGAAGACAAAATTGAAGTACAAGAAGAAATAGAAATGGAAGAAGAAGAGGAAGAAATTATAGTTATAGATGAAGATCAAGAAAAAATAGAAATGGAAGAAGAAAAAGAAGAAGAAGAGCAGGAGGAGGAGGAAGATATAGTTATAGAAGAAGAACAAGAAAAAATAGAAATGGAAGAAGAAGAAGAAGAAAATGCATAAAAGAAATTTAAGTGGTCTATCAAAATTATAGAATATTAGTTCAAGTTGTGTTCTTGTTTAATCGAAAAGTTTATAAAATTATTTAATAATTTATAAATAAAGAAAAATTTATTTTTATTTCAAAAAAGATTATTACATTTTCCTAGGTAAATCAAAAAATTAAAAGCTTCAATAAATATATAACTTTTTGTATATTAAACATAAATTATTTGTGATTTTATATATTATAAAAAATTAAATTACATATTTAAAAAACAAAAACATTTTTCAAAAGAATTACAAATGTTATACAATAAAAAAAATAGATATTTAATAAATCACAATTTAGAAATAAAATTCATGAAAATTATAAATTTTAAAACAAAATTTAATTTATGAATATATAAATATCTTTACTGTTAACAATAATACCTTTAAAAAACATTTATTTTATTACAATCGATTATTAAAAATTATATCGTACGTTAGCACTCTAAACTCTTCACGTATCAATCCCTGACTATTACTCCAAACACACGGAAATATAAAACTTTAAAAAAATACATTTTATAAACTGGAGAATAAGAATAAGAGTTTTGTATTTTAAATAGCTATATTATATTTTTAGAAACAAAATAAATGCATTGGCGAATGTTCGAAGGCTCATCGAAGCTATTTGAAGCACATTGAACGACAATATATTTCCAATTAATGAATTTCTTTCAATTCTCATAAATTATTTTTTAAAGTGGGAAAGCAATAATGAATATTAGAGAAAATGGAGTTTTATATTTTAAAAGCCTATATTATATTTTTAAGAACAATGTAAATGCATTGGCGACTGTTCAAAGGCTCATCGAAGCTATTCGAGGCACATCGAACGACAATATATTTCCTCTTAATGAATTTCTTTCAATTCTTATAAATTATTTTTTAAATTGGTGAAAGAATACTCAATGTTGGAGAAAAAAGGAGTTTTATATTTTAAATAGCTGTATTATATTTTTAGAAACAAAATAAATGCATTGGCCACTGTTCGAGGGCTCATCAAAGCTATTCGAAGCACATCGAACGACAATATATTTCCAATTAATGAATTTTTTTCAATTCTTATAAATTATTTTTTAAAGTGAGAAAACAATAATTAATATTAGAGAAAAAAAGAATTTTATATTTTAAATAGCTATATTATATTTTTAAAAACAAAATAATTCTATTCAATTTTTATGTCAATTGGGAAGAAATAAATTAATTCCTTTAATGAATAATTTAAATGTTGTACTTACCAAATATTATAATGTGTATATTCAAATTTTAACAGCATTGAAAATATAGATTATTTAAGGTTTTCATTTATACTATAACCCTTTAATGGCCAGTGGGACACATACGTCCCACCTACTTCAAAAAATCATAACTTTCTTAAAACTTAACAGAATAATTCCACTGAGGACTCATTTTAAAGGTGAGAGCAAGTGTAACAAATGCATGTACATGCATTTTTTAAAAAAATTATCCTTTTTGAAATACACCCCTTCAAAGAAGGCAAAAAATTACAAGATTCAAAAAAATTGTATAAATTTAAGAAGAAAGTTTTTATCAGCTTCCACAATAACGTATGTTTAAAAATATTTCAAATTTTGTAAAAAAAATAAATTACAAAATTTAACCCCCAGGGAAAAAAATTTAATGAAAACTACCCCCAAAAACCAAACAATTTAAAAATTAATCAGATTTGCCTGAAATTTATTACTCGGGGGTTTTCGGGGTCACAGATAACGAATATGAAGTCAAGTTTTTAAAATTTCAAAATGGCGGATCCAATATGGCGACCGAAAAATTTTAAAATTCGCTAGATTCGCGTGAAATTTGTCACTCAGGGGTTTTCGGGGTAGCTGATTGCGAATATGATGACACTTTTTAAAAATTCAAAATGCCGGATCCTACATGGCGACCGAAAAATTTTAAAATTCACTAGATTCGCGTGAAACTTGTCACTCGGGGGTTTTCGTGGTCGCTGATTACGAATATGATAATAGTTTCTAAAATTTCGTCGTGGAGAGGAGTGCATTGGGTAGATGAAATGATAATATGATAATAACCAGTGAAAATGATTTTTTTTATTGTTGAAAACTGAAGTCACGATATAAGTTATAAATTAGGGGTGGGTTTTAATATTATTATATTTAATTATATATTTATATTCAATATCAGTACTTAGTTATCATAGAAATATTTTTTCATATTTTCGAAACGTATGGAAACAATGGAAATTATTTTTTTGATTGTTCAAAACTAAAAAAATTATGATTATAGAAAGTGAATTTATCATTCGGTAGTTAAATATTAAATGGAGAAGAAGCTATCAATAATCCGAATCAAATTTTAACAAACAAACTAAATATCTTAAATAAATTTCTATAAGCTCATAGATTTCATATGTATCGACAGCACAGCTGCCCGAATACAGAAACCTGCTTAATCTGAAAAATATTTTCGAAATTAATTAATAATTTCAAAATTATTAAAGAACTCAGAAAAAAACGGTAGCATGGTGGGATACGAGGTTAAGAAAAATATATAAATAATAATAATATATAATATAATTTATTTATTTATTTTTTTTTTATTTTTTTTTATTTAAGATATTTAGTTTGTTTGTTAAAATGTGATTGGGATTATTGATAGCTTCTTCTCCATTTAATATTTGAAAAAAATTATGAATTAGGGGTGGGCTTTAAGGGTAGGGGTGAGTTTATTATTATTATAGATATCTGTGTAATTTTTAAATATTTATTTATAATTTATAAGCAATTAGAATTTATAGATTTTTTTAATCATTTATAAAAACTTTCACGACCGAGGGGTGGTAATTTGACTTAAAGGGTGGTTTTCTAGGGGTTTATTATTATTGTTTTCAATTTTTAAACATTTAGGGGATTTTTATAAATAATTGTAAAGTAGATAGGAGCTGAAAAATGTTTAATTCTTCAATCAGATTAAATATCAATTTTTTGGGGTAGTAATTTACCATGGGGGTGGTTATAAGAGGTGAAACATGTTAACAAAATTTTTTTTCTCATACTGAATACTTTATTAAATAAATCTAATATACATTATGACTTTACATTAACCACAAAAAACTCGGCCATTAAAGGGATAAATAAACCTGAAACTGTCAAAAACTAGATGTAATTTGTCCTTTTTTTTATACGACAATATAAATTGAAAATTTTTGTAATCAAAATGCAAAGTTTAATCGAATTATAATTTTTTAAATAAATAATCAGACACCAAAATAAGCAGTATATCTCTTGAGATTAAATAAAAATTCAAATATAATACATAAATATTGAACAATTTACAAAAGTAATTTTATTTCAATCAATAATATGTTCAATATATATTTTTATTACATTGAAAGCTAATTATAACCTACAAACAATTCATTAAATACAAGAACTTTAATGATCGTTGACACATATTATTTATACTTAACACTTAAACTTATCGTTTACTGTCACTCTTTATTGTTTATTATTTTTTATCACAATTGTAAAGAAAAATGTCCTTTAATTATCCAACAAAATATTTTTTTTCCACATAAAAATTGAAAGCACTACACTTAACCTCTTTCGTTTACATAATATTTATTGTTTACTGTCAGTCCTTATTATTTATCACAATTGTTTCGTTCACAGAATATTTTTATTAACACTGTTAAAAAATAAACTTTCATTATCTGCGTCAACTGTCACATGAAAACGATGCACTTAACTTTTTTCATTCAAATATTATTTTATATACACATTATTCAATATTTGAGAATCTAGCTCCATCTCTACGATTTATTTATATTTATAAATTTCTATTTACCGACGCTTTATATTATCCGCATGTAAGTTGACCCTCTATTACTAACTAACCGCTGTATGCTGTGAAGTAAGCGCTTTTCGGTTAAATTCACGTTCGGTGAATAACACATTCGGAAAAATCACCTACAACCTGTAAAAACTGAAGGGAGATAAAGTTTAAATTTTTGGTCTTATATGGAATATTTGAAAAATTTGTAGTTTCTTTAAAACAAAACGAAAAGATGTTTTTTATTTTGTGTTTTTTTCTGTTTTTCTGCACTTTTTAATGGTGAAAACCAATTTAAAAAAAATTTTACCTTAAATTATTAGTGATGCATTTCGAGCGAGTCTCGGATCAAAAAACCGAGAATCTATCGAGAAAAACAATGAAAACCATTAAATATTACTATTTAGTAGCACTCTTTTTCACCTGTAGGTTAAAAATACATCAAATTTAACATGGATTTTGATGTATCGTAAAAGCCCTTTATTTGACCTCTTTTGACATATGTAGATTTTGACGTAATGTAAGGCCGTTATTGGGCCTCTTTTTGACTTATAGGTAAAAAAATAGGTCAAATTTGACATAGATTTCGACGTATTGTAAGACCGTTATTTGGTCTCTTTTTGACCTAAAGGTAAAAAGGTCAAATTTGACATAAGTTTTGACGACTTCTTAGTAGAGGAGGCGCCTTTTTAGAATCTTCAATATATTACCCTGCAAAAGTTTGGACTCACCCATTTTCAGGGGTTTGAAAAAAATGTTTAAACATAAAATTTATGAAAACTAAAATTTTTTTCGGTATATATTTTGAAAGATGATAAAATTTTGAGAAGAAAAAAAAAAAGTCCTTACAGAAGTCATTTGGCCAATATTTTTTCAAGATATTCTTAAAAAATCGTCATTTTCAATGTTTTACTAAAATTTGAATAACTTCTAAAATTATGAACGTTTTTTAATGACCTTAGGTTATTTTAAAGGTCATTTTCTACAGAATCAGAATTCCTTATAAGCATTAACGTGTACCTGTTTTCTTAGAAAATGCAGGTCGCCAAACTTGGACCAAAAAAATTCAAAAAATTTGAATCAATTTTTTTGTACGAAAAACTATTCTAGAAAATATAAAAAACATAATACGGTGTTTACTTTTCTAGAAAATTTAATAAAAAAATATGTTTGAATTTTAAAAATTATTACATTCTCATCAAAAATGAGAAAGTCTTGGATTTGTGCGATTTTGAGCAATGTCTAAATTTGCTAAATCTTTACGTATCATGACCCCCTGATTCCAAAAAAATGGTTTTTAGAAAAGTGTCTGTCCGTCTGTCTGTCTGTCGTCTGTCTGTAGAAAAATTTGTCGCCACGATAACTCGAATAAATTTTTATAAATCGTCTTGCAATTTGGCACACTTTTTTAGTCCATAAAAATGAAGCCTGAGTTCGTTGGGCAGCCCATTTCGTCAAAAAACAACAAAAATACAAAATTTGACCAGATTTAGCCAAACGGTTTATCTAGAATTAAAAAATTTTATTTTCATATTAAAATATTTTTTTTTGTCTCTCAACATTGTCTAGAAATATTGCTTTACATATTACTCAGAAATTTTTTTTGAAGTTATTAAAAATTTAATTTTTTAGTATTTCTAAATTAAACAAATTTTTTTTGAGTTCTGGTTAACCGATATAAAATTCGAAATATGATTTTTTCATTTTCAATTGCACTATTTGAATATATATTTTTTTTAATCATTTTTACATTATTATCACATGAGAAAGTATTAGTTTTGGTCGAAAATTGACTTTCGCTAATTTCTTGAAATCTCGACGTTTTGGGGTCCCCTGAGTCTGTTAAACATG